CGCCCGCTCGCAGCCCGGGGCCTCGCCCGACGGCGCGGCACGGCTGGGAGCCACCGCATCTCCCCCCCCGGGGTGCGGGGAGACAGCCCGGCCGGTGGATCTGGGAGAGGAGCTCCTCCTTCGTGGGTGCCTGCTGTTTTTCCTTCTGCCGTGAGGTCTCTGTTCCAGCTCTGTTTCCTCCCTAGGGTGCTGAGAAGGGACCAGCACGGGATGAGATCCAGCCCATCTTCTCCCTGCCCTGTGTAGGGCTGAGATAACCCCTCGGATCCTGGGAGTAAGTGGAGAGCTGAGGAGCCCCGGAAGGTTAACACGCTCTTCTGCCCATCCGTGGTTTGCATCTGCTTTGCACGCCGTGGTTTTAGGGTCCTTTTCACCCCGTGCTCCCCATTCAGACTCCAGGAAGCAAACGGATGCAGCCAGGACAGCTGCCGTGCCGCGGGTAGCGCAGCTCGCTCCCCTCTCCTTGCGGGCAGCTGCCGGTGCGTGGATGCGGGATGCTCACAGACTAACCTGTCCCGTGTCTTTGTGTTTTTCAGGGGCCAAAGGTTCTCTGGTTCAGGGCACAAGATGATGGAAACCGTTTTATGAAGCTCTAACCTTGCAGAGGTTTTAAACCTAATTCAGCATTTTTTTTTCCCCCTTGTGAACAGAAATGGCTCCTGCTTTGAGTGTATTTGGGGCTGCAAGATGATTTGTGCCTTTTTTGTGACAGTAGGGGAAAGTCAGGGCAGCCGAGGGCTCCTTGCTCCCATCCCTCAGGGTGCAGAGCAGGGGAGCATGAGCAGAGCGTGCCCCCAGCCCCTGCAAGGGCACCTCAAATCCCCGAGTCCTACTTAGGCACAGCCCCCCAAGCCCTTGCTTCCCAGGGAGCGGAGATACCGCCTGGCTGGAGGGACTCTGCGAGGCATTTCTGCCTCCCCTGTGATGCCTGGGATGCCAGGGCATCTCAGCGTCTGGCTCGCTGTAGTTTTCAGCTGTGGTAAAGCCAGCGATTATCCAGAGAGCCCCAACAGGCTTTGTCTCGCTGTCAGTTCTGCTCAAGCGCTTTCCTCCGTGTTTCTGCCAGTTGCCGATGCACGCTCGCGGCTGACGTGCGACGAGCTTGTGAAACGAGCCTGCTCAGCAAGCCGGAGCAATAAGCTGAGGCTTTGTCCTCTAAACTTGTCCATGGCTGGAACCAGTGTGGCTGTTGGTGCAACCCTTGTGACTTGGGCTTGAAATACAGGCGGCCCCCTCCAGCCTGCCGCAGCAGACATTTTGATGCTGTGCTGATGCTAGTGAAAGCATACGTGAACCCGATGCTGTGGGAGACGTGCAGCCTTTAAAGCGGGGGATGCAGTGGAGTGAGCAAAATAAAACCCAAAATAGCAGCAGGTTTAACTTGGACAAAGCAGAAATCTTCTGAAAAGCCAACACGATGGCAAAGTCTGATCTCTGTTCCAAATGGCTTTTGTCTGCAGCTTCATAGCTTCTGGTCATGTGCTGCAGCAATCCTCTAAATCTTCTCATTCTGAAAATGAGACAAACAAAGGCCCTCTCTGCACTAGCAGGGAATGGATTTATTTCTCTCTCCGTGTCTTTACGGTTCCTCCAGTACAATAGGGACCTCTATTTGGGTTCGGTCCCCGAGACATGAGGGTAATATCAAATCTCTTATCCTCAAGCAGCTGCACGGCCGTGCCACCCAATGGGACCGTCGGTGGGAGCTGGAGCAAGGTGAGGGCTGAGCCCGCTCCTCTCCGTGTGCTGCCACTGGTGCCAGAGCTCACAGAGGGGCAGGTATGGCACTGCCTTCTCCCCACGCACACGGAGCCGAAGGCCTTGGCTGCGGTGGCATTTGGCTGTCTTGGCCTCATGAACCTTGGATGCTCCAAATCACGTATTCCAGACTGTTTCAGAAAATGCTTCTTTTGATGGCACCACCGACGTTCTCCATCATCTGATTTTATACATCTTTGTACCCGTCTGTGTATTCAAATCCCGCCTCAGCTCACCTTTTTGCTTTTGTAATGGCCTCCCCGTCCAGTGACCCTTTTTCTTTCTCCTCTCTGCTTTGGGATTCACAGGCCCAGCTGAGACGGG